AACATACAGGAAAGTTGTTCAGGATTATTTCCGTAAGATCGACTTTTCGAAGTTGAATTACTAGTTCATTTTTAGAGATCTTGATATATATAGCCTTCTGATTATGTCCCACTATCATCTTATCCATCTGTTCTGCATACTACCCACTCTCTTCAATAACATTAGGCGTTATCGTTTATAAATTTTATTACTGAGTTTTCTGAAGCTAAAAACTTATAAAATTACAAGTAAAAGTTGTAGCTTACTGTATTAAGTGTTTTACAAATAGATAAAAAAATTTTCTTCTGTATAACACAGGGAACTATATTCAATACCTTATAATAACTTTTAATGAAAAGAATATGAAAATGAATATATATGTATATGTATATATATATGCATGACTGGGACATTATGCTGTTTACCAGAAATTGACACATTGTAACTGGCTATATACTTCAATAAAAAATTTTTTTAAGTGTTTTAGGGTTTCCCCAAATATTCTGTCCTGCTAAGGGTGAATAAAAGGTAACATTCAGTAAGTCACCGAAATGAATTCAGTCCAGTCCAGAGTTCACCCCTTCATGCAACATTTATTGAGCTTATTATGGACTGAGCACTTTAGTCAGCTCAGGAATTACACTGGTGGAAGCTTGTGGATCTAATTTTTTCTTCCTGGAGCCTGCTGGAGAGACACACAGTGCAAGGAAAACCTGTACTTTGCTCTTGCCTTGACCCAAGAAGAAACTGAGCCGTGTTCCTTCTATCATTCAAGCTTAGGCTGCAGAGCTCAAATCTGACAGCTTCTCTCATAAAAACTAAACTTCCTTAAGCATCACACACAAGGCTGATTTTCAATGTTTTCATTCCTTTCCTCATAAGGGCCGGTCTTCTAACCAAGTTTCATTTTTATTGCTCTTCTTTGGGACCTCTCCAAGTTCTCAAAACCGGTTAAATTCTGAGGTCAAAATTATGTTCAGGACTCTGATACTGAAGTTTCGAATTGCTGAACATTTGGGGAGGATTACTTAATGATTCCATTCAACTATAGAGAATGACTGTTTATGTGTCCCTTGGGTTTTCATCTGGGGCATTCTATCATTTTGTAGATAGGAAGTTTCCCATAGAATGAAATGTGACTTAGTTAAAAAGTTGTCCAGCTGTTTATATGAGATTGACTGATGGCTACACATAATTCTGTTACTAAGTCCAAGCTTGTACTGCTCAGTGCATGACAGACCAATAAATCGAGTCGAGTTGTTGGGGAAAGGAATAGTGACTTTATTCAGAAAACCAGCAGACCAAAAAGACAGTAGACTAGTGCCCCAAAGAACCATCTCAACCAAGTTAGAATTCAGGCTTCTTCTATACTAAAAGGGGAAGGCGTGTGGTTGGTTGTTGCAAACTTCTTGGTGTTGGAATCCTTTCTTCTTGCAGCTGTCCATGTAGGTCAGGTCACAGTGTTCTTGTAAACCTACAACAGGACAAATACTGTTTTCTGTTCTGCAACTTTTTATCTCTATGTGAATGGAAAAGTGTTATACCCTTAAAGGTCAGAGCCTTAAAAATGGGATATCCTGTCTATTTCAGGCAATAAGTAACATTCTTTTAGTGAT